GCTGTACACTAAACTAAGCTGTCTGACACAGTTAACCATTGTATAATATGTGACCAAAAAACCCCCCAAAACTTTCGGGCTTCTTATGCCATCACTCCTCAGCCAGCCACGCTGCTGACCGCCGTACTAGGTCATAAAAAAGATAACATGCGCATGCACGCTGCACAGAGATGGTTCACAGACCACTGTCAGCGCCTAAGCGAACCCAAGCTCGTGAGTACCTCGCCAACTGGCATGCTTGGCTACTGTATTTATTTGTGCGCTGTGATGATTTTGGTAATGCGCAAACCTTACTTCTTGCTCATATACTGTTTTGTCAATATAAAAGACAAACTCCCGACACTTGACCTACGCGCCCAAACGCATTCCCTTCCCATATATTTGCCTGTGCAGACGTAACCAGCTCTTTCGAAAAAAAAGTCTAACAGTTATAGCTTAATTGGCAGCCTAATCAGTAAGGCCTGAACGCACTTCAGTTGGTGCGGTTGCCCTTCCCTGTGACGGTTTTTCTGTGACCCCGTAGTCACTGCGCCCAACTGCTTCTACCACCTTTCTGGTGCAGTTATCTGACTGCCATAGCATGATTTCCCAAGCTATCTATTTAAAGTCCACCAGTGGACTACCGAACACATAATCTATAGTTTTTTCGGCATCCTGAGGAATAGATCGGTGCACAAACAAATAACATCATGATCCATTTGTATAACTTTACGAAATTATCCCCATCTGTTGCACATGCAGGTTTCAGCTCAAAGTTGCCCTTACCTTGGGTTCTATGTTTATGTATGGGTAGCTCTCTCTGTGTGTGTCTCTATATTATTTTATATGAGGATTTATTCTCTTTTTCTCTCTCTTTGTATGTGCCTTCTATCCTCGTTCTGCGTACTTTTAAAGTAAGTGAATTACACTATTTGTTTATCAAATTACCCTTGCTTTGTCTGTCCTTATGTTTGCTGTGTCCCTATGTTCTATTGGCTGTTAGTTTTTTTTCCAATCTACCCAGGCAAGCTAGCATGGACTATAGCAAATTGGTTATTACTTGAACGTCCCGCTCTAAATGTTCCACCGAGCTGTAGGTAGCTGGGCAAGCGCCACTTCCAACCTGTGTGGGGGGGGGCTTAGAGGTGATATTTGAACTATTCTTTATCTCAAACTTGCCTACTGTCTCTTATACCGAGCCAGCTTGATCCTCAGTTGTCGAACTTGTGTTCTCATACATGACATAGTCCTCATTCTTGCTCCAGTAATAACAATCGTGTGCCAAGAACCTTTTTCCGCTGTGCGACTACAGCTCAACCGAAAGTTTAAGTATTCAC